GTTTTGGAAATTCTGAAAGTCAGAGATGGCATATGAAAGTGGGTGTTAGAAAAGGGAATTAAAGATAAATCAGAAAAAGCCCTAGCCTTTAAGAAGGGAATAATGGGAGCAAATGAAATACACAAATAACTATATACAAAGAAAACTATGAGCTATCTTAAAGGAGAGAGATCGTACTCAGAAAGCACTGTGTAATTCAGGAAACGATTCACAGAACAGCTGTTGACCTTTAAACAAGCTCTTAAGTACCTGCATGCTAGCTACATACAGCAAATACCTACTCGGGAAAGCCAGAAACCTGGATTCCTTTCTTTTTCACCTTCTATGATCAAGCCAAGTCCTCGGTCCTGTCAAATTGTCCATTCTTTACACTGTCACCAGAGCAATTATTCTAAAATGCAAATACAATCATGACCATTCTCAGACTGAATCATATTAGCAGCTCTATATACCCTATGGATAACAAAGACCAAATTTCCCTTTGTTCTACATATAAGACACTCCACAGTGTGTCTAGTTACCATCAGTAGTTTCATCCTATTCCTCCACAGTATGTACTCTCTACTCCAGCCAAACTGGAGTAGAACCACCTTGCAAATCAAAGTGTACTCTGCCCTTACACGTCCATATCTTTACAAATAAACTTGCAGAGGGTTGAATTAAATGACTAGGTCTTTTTGCAATTGTAAATTTCCAGGAGTTTATGTGTTCTATTGTCTATTCTACAGAGGGACAGTAAATATAAAAAAATGGGTTACAATGGATTATAATCACTTTCAAAGTAGTCAAAAAGTCAAAGAAAACTAAAATGAATGAATGAATTTCCCTATAATATCTTCAACTTGTAAGAACAATGACTGATTCTGGCCTAAAACAAACAATGATGGAAAAATACATTCCACTGAAAAATCTCAAGAGAGGCCATATTTGGCATCTCAGTGGAATAAAGTCCTCATTTAAGTTAACATAGCATTTCAAAGCAGATTGCTAGTTAAATAATTGCTTCTCCCCAAAGTACAATGCTGTGGAAGTTGAAATATGAGCCACAAATGAAATTACCTTGTCAAGGTCATAAAATAAGTCAAGCAAAATTCCAAAACAGAACCTTTGATCTTAAGTCCAGTTTTACGTTCTGATCTTTTGATAATAGCCCAGCTCTGTAAACTCTGAATTGTATACGCCTCTTGTTGTGTTAGTTCAGTGAAATTTATCTGCTACTTTTTAATAGAATTTTGAAAAGGCCAGTACTTTGCTACTCAAGAGTTTTACTACAAAGGAAAAAAAAAAAAAAAAGATAACCAGATCTACTTGAGAAACATCTCTGCATCATTGTCTTAAAAATGAGATGACAGGGCCTCCCGGGTGGCGCAGCGGTTGAGCACTGGGTTGCGAAGCTGCACGCAGCCTCTGCAGCACCAGTTCAATCCCTGGCTGCTCCCCGGCCACCTGAGGAGGGTCCCACATGGCGCGCAGACCTCTCCTGCCGCCCACTGCTCCCCTCAGCAGTGTACCTCAGTCCTTCTGTCTGCTCTGCTCCCCGCTCTGGCTCTGGTGAATTCTCTCACCCTCCCGCGCTTCTGACTGTACCCAGTGCTTGCATGTATAAATAAATAAATAAATAAATAAATAAATAAATAAATAAATAAATAAATAAATAAATCTTTTTTAAAAAAAATGAGATGACACCCTGACTAACCTCTGAGAGACAACGCTCTCTAGGATTTTCACCCCTCTGCATGAGTGTATATATATATCACAAGAAAATTTGGAAAAGAAGTGACAGGAAAGTGGTAAATATTCTGATGATGAAGCAAAATGAATAAATCTCATTTTTGGACAATCATTTATTAAGTACTGAAATACACAAAAGTAAAAACTCAGGACAAAAACAGGGTTAGCATGGTTAGTGACCTTCACTTCAAACATGTTCTATCAACATTAAACACAAAACTATCAGTACTAAACTATTAGCAGAGACATGATTTTGGCTAAAAACCCCATTTTAGGGATTTCAAGGCAAGTTATTGACCTGCATAAAGCTCTTTTACTTCTGTGAAAAGAAGGAAAAACAATATATATGTCAGATCTAAATGGTAAGGTGCTTTTTAAAATTAAGTGTAATAAACATGCATCACAGCAGATAGACAAGCATAGGTACATGGAATGGTGCAATGGCAAGGCCTCAGGAAGTCTTGCTCCAAAGACTGTGTTTTTCTTAACCACCAAAAGCAAATTACTTAAAAGAATTCACCAGGCTATGGCTAGATGGATTAGCAGCTCCTATAAAAGGGAAAATTAGTTAATTTTAGTAATGCCATTGACTCAGAGGAAGAGAAAGTCAGCCCATCAGAGTGGCTGAGAATTCTAAAAGAGGGGGAATGATTAATACCCTGGTATCAATACAAAAATACTAAATGTCGGACCCTCCGTGATGGCACAGGCGGTTGAGTGCTGTACTGTGAAGCTGTCCACAGCCTCTGCAGTGCGGGTTCAATACCAGCAGGCTGGCAAGAATCCCATATAGTGAGGCAGACCTCTTCTGTCTCGCCCACTGCTCCCCTCAGCAGTATATTTCGTAAGTCTGCCTGTTCTGTTCCCCACTCTGTTGCTGGTGAATCCTCTTACCCTCCCGCGCCTCTGGCCTGTACCCCGGTTCTTGTATAAATAAATAAATCTTAAAAAAAAAAATACTAAATGTCTGTGACTAACAGAAGAAATAATCTCATTTTAAAATGAGATTTTATCTGTTTTAAAGACAGATAAAAATTTAATACATATATTGCAACATGGCATAACTAAAAATAAAAAATAATATAAATACCAGAAGGGAAATGAAAGGCAGGCACAAATAAATATAAAGGAACCCTGGAAGCCTCTAATGACCACAAGATGAATGAGTTGACAGGCAGCATTATGCCAGGATATGTGGGGAGATGCCGAGCACAGGGGGGATAAAGGTTACTCTTTTCTTTTAATACAATGGGTCATGAGATCCCTAGTAAAGTGTGGAAACCAATTTTGGCCACCATTCTTGAAGAAATATGAGGAGAGGGCCTCCCTGGTGGTGCAAGGGGTTAAGCACCGCACTATGAAGCAATCCGCAGCTTCTACAGCATGAGTTCAATCCCTGGCCAGCCAGGCAGCAACCCACATGGTGCAGCAGACCTCTCCTGTCTCGCCCGCTGCTCCCCTCAGCAGTGTACTGCGGTCAATCTGCCTGTTCTGTTCCCCACTCTGCCTCTGGTGAATCCTCTCACCCCCCACATCTCTGGCCTGTATCCCAGCTCTTGTATGCATAAATAAATAAATCTTTACAAAAAAAAAAAAAATGAGGAGAAATTGGAAAGGGTTTGAGCAAGAGGGAAAACGAAACAAAACAATAGAAAAGAGTACCTGTTAGGAAAAGAAAAAAAAAAACTTGCAGCTTATCAAATAGAATAAAGATTTAATTATAGTCCTTAGGAGGGACCGTAAACTTCAGCTTCTCCTGGTTCCTTATGTCTCAGTCAAATATCACTTTGTTACTGGCCTCAGCTTCTGACACACAGTTCTGTCTTATTCCTTTCACAAGCATGCTCCATTCCAAAGTTCTTACATTCATGCATTTATGGTCCCTTCTGCCCCTTAAAGATGTTAGATCTTCAAAAGTCAAGACCCTGAGCTCTGCTTCATGCCTATGTCCCAGGCATGGGTCATAGTAGGTATCCTATAAATATTTGTGAATCTATATCCAGGAAGAATGAACATGAAAAATGAATGTTCAAATCAGAGCAAAACAGACACTAATAAAATATAGGAGGAATTACTCCTTTTTTATCTGCCAAAAGCTTTATTGTTTTCATTTGGTCCATGGCTTGGTCAAGAGCTCCAGGGAGAGGCTCAGGCAAAAGTCCTTTACACCAGGGGGGTGCCATCTGGAAGGAGGAATTACTTGATAGTCAAGATAAAACATGCACACTGCTGGGAGCCTTTAAGAATAGATATTCATCTAACTTAGGAGTCTACCAAACTCACCTGCCCTAAGCTAAATAATTTTGAATGGCTACTCCATGATTTAATAATTTGCAGCACAGAAATGAAATTTTACAAGTAATAAATAAAAAACAAATAATCAGTCATATCAAATCATTTAGCACTTATGGTTCTGTAAGTACTTATTCTATATGAAATGGGTCTGTTTAACCCAAATAAAATAAATAATTTGCCCAAAATTACCCAGATCATAATGGGTGGAGCTGAAATTTAAATCCAGACAATTACATAATATGTATCATAAGGCCTAATATAAAGTTGAAAATAAAAATTAAACAAGGCAAAAATATATTAAACAGTAAGCATAATGGATTGACAGTTCATGGCCTAAGAGGCGACATGCTTCTCTTCATGACTTGATATGGATGGACTTTTCACATCCTAACACATTGTAGGAATACTGCTAATATACTTTTTTCCCCTTATAATTATGTCTTTATTCAAATAAATGTGATTTAAAATGAAATAAATATTCATGTCAAACTAGAGACAACAAAATGAAACCCCAAGTACCTGTGTCATAATTATCAACACATGACCAACTTTACTTCATGTTTATTAAATATATACACATACTGAGTTATTTCAAAGCAAACTTTGATGTATTAATATCAGCAATCTTCATTCCACGCCTTAAAAGACTTGATTGAATCTGAAATAAAGTTCCTTTCTTTCAAGTAGAATCAATAGAAGTATAAAGAACACTACAAAGAGGTTTTTGTTATTTAAAAAAAAACACTACCAACAATAATTTCTCAAAAGTTACTAAATACTCTCTAGGCTACAAATGCTTGGATGGATGATAACATCTCAGGCATCATACTATAGCAGGAATATTTTAAATTAGAAAAATGTACAAATTAAAAAAAAAACCTAGGATTTTTGTGCCTATCATGCTGATAAATATTTTTCCAAAAGCAGTGAAGGTCAGCAAATGCAACTATAGGACCAATTAAATACCAACATACCTGTTTGTCTTCCAGCAGATCAGGCTCCCCCTTACTAGAACTAGAGCTGACATCATCTTCATCAGAACTGTTAAGGACTTCCTCCTCATCTGAAGGAAGGTCAGCAAGACCACGATCCAGATCATTGTGCCCTTCCAGGGATGCCCCAGAAGCGCTTCAAAAGAAAGTATTGCATTAGTCACCTTTACAACAAAGAATACCACAAACATACACACACAAACAAAATCATCTTATTTTTGTGATATAAGCAAGGTACGTCTAAGGACTGTAGAGGGATGGGAAGAACCAGCTCAAACAAACTTTTCCTTCCATTTCCCCATCTCAACTGGCAAAAAACCAAATTCACTTTGTTTTTAAAATGAATTCTCTTGAAAAACATATTTCTGTAATAGGAAAGAGGATGACAAGCAAATTTCCCTGCTGCCCCCTTCCTAAGCTTCCATATATCTTTACCCTAGAAGATCAGATCTCTACTCCTAGTATAAACCAAAAAGCCTAATAGGATGTGGGCTGTGTTGACACAAAAGGGCACTGTCCGTACAGGAACATTAGAAGAGCCACTGCTTCCTCAGTAATTTTTTGTTTTGTTTTGTTTTAAACCAATGAACAAATCTATGAGGATCTGGAGGTAATGATGGTGATCCCAATCAACAATGCTTTTGCTATTGTGAACTTTTGTGCCCACCTCCTTGGTTATCACTGATTGTCTTTTATGTAACCACATCATAAATATGGAAAGGAATGAGGTCGTTACCAATTCTTAGGCCCTGTTCCAGGCCCACTGAATCAGAAAGTCTAGGTGCAAGGCCCTTAGGGAATACACACTGAAGTTTGAAAATCACTCTACCAGGGCATTTACCAACTCCTCTTTGTCAGCCTGACATCATCAACATTTCCTATTTGGTGCTGAGACAGATCTCTAGAATCTAAAAGCCATTGCTGCAATCCAGTCTGTGTGGGGAATTCCACAGGAAAGTTCCCTAAGAAGGCGATGGAAAGAATTCTTTCTAACTTTGGCTGTAAAGACTCAGGAACAAACTGCCTGTAGCAATTGTTTTCCTATCTGCAGTCTACAAGAATATCTGCAGAACACAGGAGTCAGTAAAAAACATCCATAGAAAATCATTCAGGGGAAATAGTGGCAAAATAAAGAGACAGTTGCATTTCACTTTGGCAGTCCCCTATAGCAGGTTATGGGTAGGTTAGTCATCTGCCAAGTCTCCTACAAGTTATGAGAATTTCTGATAGGAATCTTAAAACTTAAAGATAAATTTTCTGCCAGTTCCTGATTACACTTTATAGGATACAGACTTGTCTCAAAAGCCATTCCTGGAGCTCAAATGTGACTAGTTGGATGGAGGCAGGATGCCAAAATGCCAAAATGAATACCTCCTGCTGCCAAAGACAGGGTTTCCTATTACTCAGTGGCCGGGGGCTTCTGGGAATCATCACAGTCTCAATCAGGTGGGTACACACCTGGTCATAACTCCCTATGACATGGAGGACACTCACTCCCTGGATGGGGGTGAGAGGTATGGAGAGGAAGCCTTCTAGTCAAATCACTGGCAAGAGCACTGTCTCTGGGAGCAAGAAAATGAGCCCAAACCCGCGAGATAATTACTTGATTTAGATTAGCAAGAACAAATGGCTAACAAGTAGTACAGACTGCAGGATCCAGCCAAATAAAAAGAAGATACCTTCGCCAGTTTTTATCTTAATTCTTTATCTCTACATCCTCTAAGACCCTCTTACTCAAAACATTTCAATCTATGAGTAGCTTCAGCATCACTAGGCAATTTCTTATTAATACAAAGCCTCAGGCCCTATACCTACCTACTGAATCACAGTCTGCTTGTAACAAAATCTCAGTAATTTTGGGTTTTTGGATCAGCCCATCTATGCACTCTTTTGGACTCCTCAGTATAAACATCTTTGAATAATCAGTAATAAAACCATGGCACCCGTCATGAAATTGAGTTTATTTCATCTAAAGAGAAAGCTGAGAGATGGTTTGGTCCAATATTTGGAAATCTATTAAGAAGATAGTAACCAGTTAGTTGCCATATCCATTAGGGATGCAAATGTTTATAAAAGTTAACATTTAAGAAGCAGGGAGAAAAGTTTTCAATATTAAAATGATATAGATCAAAATAAAGTCATAAAATATGGGAGATTTTAGTTCTGAAAATTGCTTTCCTGCAGAAAACCTCTTATGACCACTCCCTACCTACCCCAAATCAGTTTTTATCTATTCTGAATTCCATAAGAGCTCAGTTGGTGGTATATTTCTTTACCTCATTAGAATGTAAGCTCCTAAGGATAAGGAAATTGTCTTATTTCAGTTGACTTCACAGCAGGCCTTCGAAAAGTTTTTACTGAATAAAGAAAAATGAGATTAGAAAGCCATGGGCGTTAAATTTCAGAAGATAGTACTTATGGAAGTGGGATCACTTGGCCACATGGCGTGGCGGACCTCTCCTGTCTCACTCACTGTCCGCTGCTCCCCTCTGCAGTGTATTTTAGTAGATCTGCCCATTCATCTCCCCACTCTGTCTCTGGTGAATACTTTCACACACACACAAGCACACCCCTCTGACCTATACCCCAGTTCTTGTATGCATAAATAAATAAAATAAATCTTTAAAAAAAAAGTTTGCTTTCAGGAAAGAATGAAGGAAGTTAGCTATAGTATAGAATATATACAAGAGTTTTACTCTCTGATTCATGATATTTAGAGGTGTTAACAACCCTGAAACTATTAAGTTGGATTCTATGGTTTCAGAAAAAACACACAAAAATACTCAGTTTCTCTGAAATATAAATTGAAGGATTGTTTAAAACTGGCATTGAATGACTCTGTTAGGAAGGAATACCAGGCTCAGTGTGGAATTTTGAAAAAAAGGGCTTGTTTTATTTTCCAGGGGCAACATCTACCCTAATAAATACCATTACCATCACCCTCCCCCAAAATGGCATTTATAACTAGAATTCTTTTTTTTTAAAGATTTATTTATTTATTTATACAAGCACTGGGTACAGTCAAAAGCACGGGAGGGTGAGAGAATTCACCAGAGCCAGAGCGGGGAACAGAACAGGCAGACAGATGAAATATACTGCTGAGGGGAGCATCGGGCGCGGCAGGAGAGGTCTGCGCGCCATGTGGGACCTTCGCCAGCGGCAGGGATCAAACTGGCACTGCAGAGGCCACGGGCAGCTTCCCTGTGCTGCGCCACCAGGGGAGGCCCTATAACTAGAATTCTTAAAATTTTACCCTAATTATTAAAAACAAAATAAAGACCAGTACATTGCAGCTACTATTCAAAACCCAGGACAATTCTGAAAATGGCTTAAAGAAAAAAATGGAATTCAAAATTCCGGAAAGTATAAGAGCACCTACCCACCCTTTTAATGTAATTAGCTTTAGAGTCATTATTGTTTAACCCAAAGGAAGCAGTTTTAAAAGGCGTTTTCATCTCGGGCCATTAATAGCAGACATTAAATAAACTGAGGGTATAGCCATACAATGAAATACTCAATAGCCATTTAAAAAATGAGGTAGAGCTATAGACAAAGATACAGATTGTTCTCCAGGAAATATTGTTAAATTAAAAAAGAAACTAAGGCAAGTTTCTGCATAGCAAAGGAAATCATCAACAACATGAAAAGACAACCTACTGAGTGGGAGAAAATATTTGCAAATCATTTATCTCATAAGGGGTTCATATCCAAAATATGTAAAGAACTCATCTATATATGTACACACACACACATACACACAAATATCCTGGTCTATATTGCTGGAAAGATGAAAAAGAAACAAAACAACTGTTGCCTATGGGACTCAGGGCTGAGGTAAGAAAGAGACTTCACAATTTACCCCTTGCTGCCTTTTAAAAGCCTTTTTATTATGCATATTACCATTTTTTCAAAGATGTCATATATACACACCATAAACCCAAACTTCAAATATTTTTATTTGGAGATACCTATAAATTTCTTCCTAAGGTGATGAGAATTTAAAAATTCTCCCTTCTTGCCCCCGCTTCTCTAATTTTAGAACTGTACATTTTCAGGGTTGCCTTTATTTTATCCCTTTTTCTACTCTTTTAGGTCCGAAAGTTATATAAACTATGCCTTTCCCTTACAGCCTGTAGAGGCTTATTTGGGAAAACCATTCACATGAGTCTTAGATAATAAGTAGGAGTGATCATCTGGTCATCCAGCTGATGGCTTTGAAAAGAAAAAGAGGTCAGTACAGGGATTGTTTAACAGTCTGCATGGTCCACATAGTCACCACACAACTTGTTGACTACCCCACAGTGAACACCACCCTACCATTAGGCATCACCCACAGCACTCTCTCTGGTTTTAGGACAACTCTGAGCCCTGTAAGTAAGGTTGATGATGCCCTGCAGTGTTCCTGGTCTTAAAGACACAGCTGGAGTCCAAGACTTATCACAGTGCAATTGAGGATTCTTGCTCCTCCAGTTAAGGAGGTAGCTAATATAAGCCTAGCTCTGCATAGCCAGAGAGGAATAAATTGTTATAACAATGTCTCTAGAAACAAGCACTAACTGAAATAAATATCAAATAATTACTAGCATTGTTTTTTTAGAATTTAAAGGATGATTCTTTAAAATGATCTTCAAGAAATATGGGCAGAAATCTTTGAGCTTAGAATTGCCTCCAAATACATATAACAGGTTCCAAATCCAATTTTGACATTGCAGCAAAGATGCTGTTTATTTTATTTAAAAATAAAACAGCCTACCAAGTTGACTTAACATCATTTCTCCCCTTTACCTTTTCATTATGCAATATGCAGAATGTAATTATGTAATATGTAGCTCATTAATAACAGGCCAAATAAAGGTCACTAAGAAGTAATAATGCGGCTAGGATGACTACATCAGCCCACTTCACATTTAAACACACACATTTATACTTATGTATGCATGTATTTTCACACATATATTCTATAATAGCTAAAATGTATAAATCTGCTGACCATTTATTTCAAAAAGTCTTTACTGAGGAATCTGTGTATGTCAAATATTATTTTAGGGGCTAGATGAAAATAATCTAACAGAAAATAATCTAACAGTTAAGGCAATGTTCAGATGATAAGTTCTATTGGGTGCTTCTCTTTTTATC